ATTTACTAGCTATGTGATCCTAGGTGAGTCACTTCACCCTGTTTGCCTCAGTTTCCTCATCTATAAAATGAGCTGAAGAAGCAAATGGCAAACCACTTCAGCATCTTTGTAAAGAAAACCCCAAATTGGATCATGGAGAGCCAGACATGGCTGAAAAATAACTAAACAACAACTTTGCCATTCTTAGAACAAGACACTCTTTCTCCCTATTCAGGCATCAAGGTGGCTTAGTGGATAGAGCCCTGGGCTTGAAATAAGGAAGACTCCTCTTCATGAGTTCAAACTCAGCTTCAGGCACTTACCAGCTGTGTGACTCTGGGAAAGTCATCTAACCTTGTTTGCCTCAGTTCCTCATCTATAAAATGAGCTGGAGAAGGCAATGGCAAACCACTCCAGTATCTTTGCCAAGAAAACCCCAAATAGGGTGACAAAGTGTCAGACCCAACTGAAATGGCTGAACAACAAAAACAGAAGTTTGAAGTGATAAAGGCATGTACCAGGCTGAAAGTAATAGTAAAGGAAAGAAGAGGGTAGAAGGCCCTGAGTTAACCAGGAAAGGCCTTATTTATGCAGAAGGTGGTACTTGAACTGAGAACAGAAATTACAAGAGACAAGTAAGGAAAGAGTGCATTCCGGATAGAGGGGATGCTCAGCGCAAAATCAAGGAGACAAAGAATGAATGTCTCATGTGTACGGAGAAGTAAAAGGGCCAACCTGGTTGGGCAGCACTGCAGATGGAGGGGAAGAACGCATAATATCACTCAAAAAGCAGGATGGGGCTAGATTGTGAAGAGCTTTAGATGCCAAACAGGAGTTTGATCCTAGAGCTAATAAGGAACCCTGGAGTTTCTAAGAGAAGTTTCCCAGCATGACATCACCTTCTTTCTCCCTCCTCTCCCCATATCTATTTTCCCTTGTTTGGGAAAAGTGGTCCTGGTCTACTGGCCATGAAACTCAGGCAGTATCTGGAGTAAAAGTGAGAGTGGCATGTGTTTCCATTCTTTGCTCAAACCATTATGATCTTAGCAGTGGGTTTGCAGGCCAGAGTGGGCACAGTGGAGACGTTATTCGGGGGTTTTGTTGATTGCCCACCTTAATTACACCCCCCAGCATTTAGAAGATAAAATACAAAACTCAGGAATGCTGGGAAATAGGGGCCAAGTGTGTTGCCACACAGTGCTGAATTATGTGAACCAGGCTGGCATGGTAGAATGACTTTCAAAACATTCTTTTTTTTTTTTTTAATTAAGAAGTTAGAACGTGAGTCACAATCCTCCTGGTCCCCCAAGGGGTCCTCTGCAGAGAAGAACTGCAAAGCACTGTTCAGCTAATTAAACTTCCCTGCTTTCTAAACTCAGGCCAGATGACCGCATCTCCCCCACAAGTTGACAGCCTGCTAAAGGCTAGGTAATGTTGGATCCATGAAAGATTACTGCCCCCTTCAGTCATAAAAAAAATTATTACAGGGACAAGAACGGCGAAAAGAAAATTCTATGACTTAGGTGGTATGTGTGGCCTTCCCCCCATTAGAATTAGAGGTCAAAGTGAAAGGGACCCTAAAGGTCATCTAGTGCAAGATCCTCATTTTACAGATGAAGAAACTGAGGCTCATGGAGATGAAATAGCTTTGCCTAGGTCAGTAGCCTGGGATGGGAGTCAGGGCAGCTTCCCAAATTCTAAGATCAAAGAGTGAGATGTGGGGAAACCATCTCAGCTTTTCAAGCTCTGTTGATCCAACCAATCTGAGTCACAGTTTCCTCTTCCATAAAATGGGGATAACAATAGCATCTACTTCAAAGAGTGGTTGCCATGATCCAACAAGATAGCATATATGAAAGCACTTTGCGTGCCCTAAAGTGCTAATTAAGTGTTAGTGCACCAGATCCTTAAAGACAGTGGGCTTAAGGTTTGGGAACATTGCAGAGACAAAGGAGAGGCAGAATAACAAAGACTACATAGCTATAATTACCATATGCCATTTCTTTGGTTTGTTTTCCCCTCATCCACTAAAAGGAAAGTTCTCAAACAAATCAGCATCTAAATACTGATGTTGTCCTTGCCAAGTGTGCGTGTTTGGAGGTCATGTGCTTCTAGGCACTCTGAGTTGAGAGCATAGATCACTTATAAAGGTATTAACCCGAAGGAACCCAAAGGATTCTAGAGGAGAGGGAGAATAAGCAAAGTGCCTACGGAATTTACCAATACCAACAGAGGGCAGTAGGAAGTCATCTGAGGCAGAGCCTGGCTAATGGTATCGCTGTTTTTACACGAAGGGGAGAAGAGGACCCTGGAATTGTGGGATGGCAGAGAAGCAGAAAGAGACTCAAATCCAAAACATAGTGGTCATAGGCTTTCAGATCTAGAAGTGGCTCAGTGATCATCAGAGCTAGAGGGAAAGGATCTAGCCAGAAGAAGAAAACAGAATGCCGAGTCAGCAGAGGAGAGCAGGACCGCAGACATCTGGAGATGAAGGTCAAGTTTCTTGGACAGAGAAGACAGACTCTGGGGGTTCAGGGTATTACACTGTCAAAGTTGATTAGAACTGACAAGTTCCTATAGTCTGGGGAGATTTTTGACATCCTCAAATGACCCTGATGGCTCCATACTCTCTAATCTTCAAAAGCTCTCCTCCCAGTAAGCCCAAGATACACAGAAGAATATGAGATTTAGAGCTGAAAATCTCCCATAAGTGACAGACTAACATTTTCCGCTGGTAGGAATGATATGATATGGAATAAATGATAGGAATGAAACAATGACATTAATTATTAGGCATAATTTGTACATAGATCTGTAGAAATTCTTAACCTGGTGTCTAGGAACTTATTGTGTTTTTAAAATATTTTTATAACTATATTTCAATAAAATTTGCTTTCCTTTGAATCCTATGTATTTTATTTTATGCATTTCAAACATGATTCTGAGAAGGGCAACAGAGGCATCATCAGATTGTCCAAAGGAAGCATAATGAAGACATTTTATAGATAAATTAACTGAAGTCCAGTTTACGTGACTTGAGTAAAGTCACAAATGCAGTGATTGTCAAAGGCAGGACTTGAACCCAGCTCTCTCCATTGTATCAAATAGTCCCATAACTGTTCTACTTAATCAAATATCCTTGCTATTACTGTTACTACTATTAGCTGACATATATGTTTATTTATTATTATATTTATATCATTATATTTTATATATATGTTATGTGTTATATATTAATAAATTCTGTTAACATATTAATATATTATTATAAAACATGACTATTAGTTTATTTGTAATTTATATTTATATATGTGTTATTTATAAGTGCACCTTAAAGTGTACAAAGTATTTTATGTATGCTATCTTATTTGAGCTACCCAAACAATCCAATCAAAGAAGTACTATAATTTTTATGATACCATTCATATAGAAAAGAAGGGTGAGACTTAGTAATATAAAATGAATATGACCTATAGTCATATCAACAGTAAACATTTGCAGTTGAATTCTAAGCCAGACTTCTTCACTCTAAGAAAGGCATCACAGCTTAGTGGATAGAGTAATGGACCTGTACTCAGGAAGAGTGGGGCTCAAATCCTCCCTCCAACAATTACTGGTTATGTGACACTGGGCCTCTGGGCCTCAGTTTCTTCTCATCTATGTAATTAGGGGATTGGACTTCAAGGTCCTTTCCAGCTTTAGATCTAAGATTCTATGATTCCCTGTCCAGTAATCTATCTGCTCTGTTATGATTTCAGTCTCACTTAGATTGCCAGATATTTTCTTTAAGAAGATTCAACCTTAAATTCAAAATGTGAAATACAATTTCATGTCTTTCATTCCTAGGAATGAAACGCCTCAGAGTCATCATTAATATGTTAATTTGCAGTATATCGACCGTGCTAGTGAAGAGAGAGCCCTGGTTAATAAACTACTAGCTAACACTTTTTTGTAGGTTTTTAAAATATGTTCCGTGTTCTCTGAAGAGTGTGAAAAAAAAAGTTAGGATTATTTAATGAATGCTGAATCAGATCCAGCATGGCCTCAGCAGGCTCCCTTTAGCAACCCAACCTATCCCAGAACTCTTGGCTGGAGTTGTCATGTGCTATAGAGAAGTAAGGGTTGGGACCATGGCAACCAAGAAGAAGGCTTCTGGAGTCCTTGGGAAAATAGAAAAGAGCCACGTGTCAGAATCATGCCAGTAGCCAAGCTGATCCCAAAACTAAGGCTGCACAAGTTCATCTGCTCACAGTGGTGTTTTCTCCACTACTTCAGTATCCTTCAAGCCCAGCTCCACTCTAGATTTTCACAGAAACACCGGATTGAAGGCTAGTTAATGCCCTTCAGTTTCCTACACAGTAACCAATTAAAGGACAGGGAGGGGAGGAACTGCGGAATCTTCTGACCCAGTCACACACACAGTAATTCCTTTTAGTAACTTACACGGCCTTGTCTTTTGGGGAGAGTGGATATGGGTACAAGGGAGCTGCTTAGCCATCCTCATCCCTTTCTGGAGGCCTGGATCATCCTTCTGTACTGAAACAGATTCATCAAATGTGACTGCCTACTTATTTACTGTCCCACGCACCTATTTCTCCAACTGCTCTCAGTCATCCTCAACTGATCAAATAAGATATGTGTACAGCACTTAGCACTGGAGCTGGTACAAAGTAGATGCTTGATAAATACTCCTTCCCTTTCTTCCCGTTCCCGTGATACTTTCCCTTGGGCTGAGTTTACCTACCCAATTCATACAAAACTAAATTAAGCCTAGAAATCCTCATGTTTTCTCAGTTACTCAGGACTCATATATGTTTAGGTTACAGTTAGTTAGACACATGATTATGGAAACTGAGGCAGCAGTAGACTGGAATTTCAATTAATACAAGAATTGTTTTGCTTTTTTGCTTTATTGTAGCAAGAATAAAATCTTACTCTTAAATAGTGGTTTGAGAGACTGGCTTGTTGTAGAGAGAGCTGGCCTTTAAGTCTAGGAGACCCTGACCTCAAGTTTCATCTCAGACACACAGGTAGCCCCTTGTTCCTGGGCAAATTAACTAATGTGTCAATGGTTCCAGGCAATTTTCTGAGACTCCAAGCTGCACAGAAGGTACTGATCTTCATTGGTCACAAATCTGGTGAAATAGATGTATATGATTATATGTATGCATATAAATTTACATATAAGCACACACACACACACACACACACACACACACACACACACACACACACACATATATATATACATGCACACACCATATATATTTGACCAAGCTTAGGATTTCACAAATAGAATAATAAAGTATGTATGTGTATATGCCCATTTAATCTCTCTGAGCCTCAGTTTTCTCATCTGCAACATGGAAATAATACTTGTACTGTGTACCTAAAATATTTATTCTGATAACCAAGCAAGATAATGTATATAAAATGCCACACATTATATTATATCTTATTTTTGTATTTCTGATTACAACCTTGATGGCAGTTTAAGTTTTTGGGCAGCTAGGCGGTACAGTGAATAGAGTATCGGCCTGAAGTCAGGAAGACTCATCTTCCTGAATTCAAATCTGGCCTCAGACACTTACTAGCTGTGTGACCCTAGGCAAGGTACTTTACCCTGATTGCCTCAGTTTCCCCATCTGTAAAATGAGCTGGAGAAGGAAATGTAGTATGTTGGCCAAGAAAACCCCAAATGGGTTCATGAAGAGTCAGTTACAACTGAAATGACTGAACAACAATAACAAATATATTTATATCATATATTATCTATTTTTATCATGATATGTGTGTAGATATCTCTTTCATATATATACATACATGTTATTTTGGTCATGTCTGATTCTTCATGACCCCATTTGGGGTTTTCTTGACAAGGATGCTAGAGGGGTTTGCCATTTCCTTCTCCAGCTCATTTTACAGATGAGGAAATTGAGGTAACAGGGCTCAGTGACTTGCCCAGGGTCACACAGCTAGTACATCTCTGAGGCCAAATCTGAATTCTTCCTGATTCCAGGCCCAGCTCTATCCGCTGTACCATCTAGCTGCCCCACAGATATGTAGACATGGACATATAGATTTAGACATAGATATAGACACAGACATGGTTATAGATCATTTCAGAAGCACTTTACACACACTATCTTGTTTGGTCCTCATAACAATTTTGTGAGGTCAGCAGTGCAAGTATTTTGTCCATGTTACAAATGAGAAAACTGAGGCTCAGAAAGGCTGAATGATTTGCCAGTGTCAAACAGTTAAGTTTCAGAAGAGCCCTTGCTTGCCTGAGACAAGATGGGCTTTGCTCAAGAGAATCAACATGGAGATGGTTAGGGGCATGCTTCCCCCACTGGAAGGATTCTTTCCACAGCAGCTGGCATTTCCATACCCCCTCTTGAAGATCTCCAAATGCATGTCACTGTCAGGAGTTAGTTGCCATGGCAAACATCTCTTTGGGCCTACATTCCACTTTCAACCTCCAAGGAGGAAAAGGCCAAAGCCTGTAGAGGCTTGGCTGCCTTCTCTCCTGGCACGAATGATGATACCAGCCAGGTGTGGGGAACCTGCAGCTGCGAGGCCACATGTGACCTTCTAGGTCCTTGGGTGCGGCTTTTTGACTGAACCTAAGTTTAACAGAATAAATCCTTTTATTAATGGGATTTGCTCTATGAAGTTTGGATTCAATCAGAGGGCTGCACTTGACCACCTAGAGAGCCACATGTGGCCTTGAGGCTGCAGGTTCCCCACCCCACGTAACTAATCCTCCCAGAGGATCTTACTCAACTACAGGTACGTCCAAAACAAGATTTCCAAGTTATATCACTGAGCATCAGAAGTAACATTCAAATACAGATCTTTTCTAAATCCAACTCCATTGTACTTTTTATTACATTAAACTGTACCTATTTGTTTATTCTTCTAATAGCTACTCAAGCCAAGCCATGCAGATGAGAGCCCAACCTAGAACAAATAGATTTCTGCCAAAAATGCAGAAAACAGAACTGACCACAATATTCCAGATAGGATATTACAAGTGTCAAATGTAGTGAGAATCATCATCTCCCCATTCCTGGGAGCAATGCCTTGCTTAATGTACCCTAAAATCTTATTAGCTTCGTTTTCACCACATCACAATATTTCCCACTAACATTCCTGGATTTTGTTTTTACCTGTAAGTAACATACGAGAGGGAGCATAGCAAAGTCAGCTGAAGACCAACACTGGAGACAAGAATACCCAGGCTCAAGCTCTACCTCTCTTACAGTGACCACAGCTAAGTGAATTAATCTCTTAATGTCTTGGGTATCTCTAAGAATATGTTACAGTTGACCTGACAATATACATGATTGGAAGGAATTTTGAGAGTGGAAGTCTCCTACTTGAGGAAATCAAAGGTCCAAGACTCAACAAATTAATGTCTATGAAATATTAAAATTCACCAATCATTACCTCCTTGTATATTTGTTTGACTATATTTATTACACTATGTGCAATGTGTGATCTGAATGTCTAGATGTGGTGTTCCTTGTTTTTAATCTAGGTCTAGGGGGTGTATAATTTTACCAGCCATCATTGCATGCTCATCTGTGTTAAGCTCATACTTTCTATCCATGGTTCAAGCTATGTAGGTTTTCCCATCCTCCCCTTGCCAATGTGTATGTACATCTGTGAGCAACTATGAGTGTGTAAGTCTGGAAATGGAAATAGACATGGCAGAGATTCCTATAACAAGAATAACAATAAGCATTTTAAAAGGCAGATATAGTAGAGTATACATAATATTCAGGAAGAGCACTGAATCTGACATCCAAAAACCATGGTTTAAATCCTAAGTCTGCCCCTGACAACCTGGTCTTGGATTCCTTATATACAGTAAAGTTACGTGGTTGAACTAAATGTCCTCCAAAGTTCCTTCCAGATCAAAATGGGTCTTTCCAAAGCACTCTACCTTAGGGCTCAACCTCAAATGAAAACTGTTCTAGTGTCAAAATTCCTTTTCCTTGAACTAGAATTAATTCTAATAAATCAGCAAGCAGTCATTAAGTACCTACTATATATGGGACATTGTGCTAAGCTCTGGGGATACAAACAAAGGCAAGAAACAGTCCCTGTCCTCAAGGAGTTCTCAGTCTAATGGGAGAGACAACATGCAAACATGATCATAGCCAGGACAATTTGGAGACAACGTCAGGGGGAAAGACACTAGCAATGAAGTGCCTACTTTGCAACTTTTTACCAGACCTGAACCAGAAGTCCATTGTGGTCTCTGGATGCAGAGGCTGAAAAACTATGTGGGCTGCTGACCTACCTCATTTCTTATTATTTTTGTAATTCATCCCCCTTGCATATAATACATACTTAGGTGTATGCATACTTAGCAAAGCATTTAATGTAAATATGTACAAATGTACAAACTCACTCTTATATTCTTCAATCAACTCTTGCTGTCCAGGGTTCCCAGCACACTCTTGTGCATTTCAATGGAATGAAGCATTTGGAAAACATATCAAAATTTGGAGATTATCTATGTCAATGTTCTCCATTATTGCTCACAATCAAAAATTGTTTCTTTATATGCAATCCTGCTTCCAACTCAAGCTTGGAGAAGTTTTGCAAAGCTGGGTTTTGCATAGGGAGGGAGATGTGACTCCTGATTAGCATGGAGGAGCTGAGAGAGACACTGTGTCCTGGCATGAGGGAAGAAGCGATTAACTGGAAATCACTAGAGCTTTTGGGAAGAAAAAAAAAAAAGATGATTATGGTAGACAAAAGCCAAGATCTCCCCACGGCCACAGACATATAACGGTAGAAGATGTTTCAATATGTTGATGCTTGTGATCCAGTGAGAATGGATGAGATGGTTCTTTCAGTTTGAATTGAGATTTCATCTTGCTCCCAGGTGAAGAGTTCATTCACTCGAGCATTTTCTAATGTAGTATCCAATCTGCACAACTTCTCCAATTTCTGTTTACTGTTTGCTTGGATAAATGGCTTTTCTTACTATTCACTGTATGTGATGTGTGTAATCAGCATTTGGTGTAATGGAGCCAAGCTGGCGAGGGTAAGCCAAGGGCTACCATCCTGCTCAAAAGTGATCAAGAAATTGGTTTTAACTCTGAACTCAGACTCAGATTTCTTGATCAGACATATATATTTAGGAGGACAAGTAGATATAATTCTAGCCCAATACCCCTTGCTGAGACCAGAGAGAATAACACCCAGCCTTGGAGGCTCTCCTGCAGTCTTCCTGCCCTTCTCCTCCAGCTATTGTGTAGTTACAGGCCTTAAATCTCCCTATTTACAGAAGTAGGCCTGGCCTGGGGCCATATCTATGCATGCCACCTATAAGTCATGTCTATGCATTTAGAAAATCTATGTGGACACATGTATTTTATGCAATGTTTCAATGAGCTTAGTACGTGTGAGTGTGAAAAGAATTCTGGACTGATACCATCCCACCTTGAATTTTAGAGCATGCCTAGACATTCTGTAGCTGGTTCCAGTTTGGTTAAAGAATGTATGCAAATTCTCTGAAGTCTATCTATGTAAGCATTACCTCAACCAAGTACATTGCACATATTTATAAGAACTAGACTTATTGGCCAAGCCTCATTATACATACATCTCAAAACAACATTGAAGAATGAAAAGAATCCCAGGCTCAGTAAGTAATGTGCATTGCAAACCTAATCACCAAGTGCTCATATCTCTAGTGATAAGTCCCTCCCCTTTTAGTGTAGCATGTTTTCACATGACATATATGTTCCATCATTGGGTCCATGCTAGAAGCTCTTCTGGCTTAGTAAAATCTTTCACAGTGTGTATGCATCTGGAATAGTCTTTCAGAGCCCAGCATTACCTCTTCATCATGGTGAGGCTTTTGGAGAAAAAAATGTAATGGGGATGAGAGCTGCAAACAGTTGACCAAGAAATTAATAGGAAAGTTAAATTTGTTGGTCTAACCCCCAACACCTTTGCATTGCTAACTTCCTATCTTTGGAAGAGCCTAGAGCTTTCACTTTATGTCAAGAGCTAGAAGGAATCTTAGAGAGCATGGAGTCCAGCCCCTTTGTACTGATAATGAAACTGAGGCACAGAGAGGTTAAGTGACTTACCCAAGATCACACAAGTGCTGAATAAGAGGTGTAGGATTTGAACCTGTATTTTCTTGACTTTAAATGTCCTATCCACTAAGCTATGCCCTCCCTCCCCACCATTACATACTCCTATTCTGTGATGACTGTGGCTATTAATCAAAAACATTTTCCACGTGACAGGATGGTGATATGTACTTACCCACTGCCAGCCATTTGATTCCCTCATTTCCCTGCTTCAAGTTCTTTTCTCAAAGACTAGCTATTTAAGAATGTTATTTTTAAGCCTGATTCAACATAAGTTCAAGACTTCTATGATCCATTTGTCTGAATGTACTTTGTAAAATGTAGTTAATGAGTTCCCCAAGTTCCCATAAATGCCACAGAAATAGGCGGCAATGAAGGAAGAAAAGACATTATTATACTATAAAATGTCTTAAAGAACTTTGCTCCCATCCCAAGTAAACAGAGCAGTTTTGATATGGCAAGAGACTGTGACACTATCGTCACCCTAAGGCAGTACCAAAGGCTTAGCCAGTCTATGTGGGTGTTCAGTTAGTGCCAACTTATGGACCAATGGGAACTTTGGAAGGACTTACCTGAATGCATGAGGCAGACATCCAGAGAGAGCCAAGGAACAATTTTCCAGCTAAAACAAAACAAAAACTTTGAGGCTCATACACATACCACCTCCAAGGCAAAGGACAAAACTGCCCCCAATGCCTTCAGTGAACATACCCCTCATGCAGGCCCAGTCATGGCTTCTCTATCCCTCTAATATTGTCCTTGCTATTCCCTACAAATAAGGGGAAAAGAAAGCAAATATACACAGTGTCATTTACCCAGGACCACAGGTCCCTAGAATGGGGTTAGAGAGCTCTGAATCAGGTTAAGGCGGCCCATTTCTAGCAATATTGCCCAAGTCTTTGTGGATTTAGAGAGGTGATACATTAGAACCTGGAAGATTTGCTCTAAGCCACCTTCTGTGACAATTCCTGAATAAAACTTTCTCTGCGGCAGCTAGATGTGCAAGAGAGAGAGGTCTCAGTTTAGAGTAAAGATGACCTGATTTCAAATCTTGCCTCTGACTTGTCCTAGACAAGGCATTTAATTATATGCTTCAATAACCCCATTTGTAAAACAAGGGAGATTGACTCAATCATATTTAAAGTACTTTCTAGTTCTTAATCTGTATTCTCTTCCCTTAACCTCCAGTTAATAAAGGTTCACACTCTCAGTCCCATATAACACTGTGTTTTGTAACTCCTTAATCCACTTATTATTATATAGTGTATGGGGTATTCAGAAAGGACTAACACCTCTGGTGTGAGGGCTTGCCAGCCCTTTTCAGGGCTACTCATCCACTTTCGGTGTCCACCTGCCTCCCAACTCTCACCTGTGGCTCCAAGAAGCTGTAGGATGAACAGCAGCTACACCCTGGTAAGACCATCTTGGCAGACAGGCTAAACCAGGTTAAGGGTAATCAACAGGTCTCAAACCCAAGGTGAGTTCAAGAGAAGTCTACCTCTATCATACAAAGACCTCACCCAGCAGAATGAACAGATGAACACAATTTGTTCCAATAGCCATGAAAGCAGTTTAAGCAAGTGCTGCAGAGCACTTAGAGCATGGTCATTCATTGAAGATGCCAAGGTCATCCACTGAATCCCAGGCCATTTCTAATCATCTTGACTTTTGTCTTGTTGCTGAATTTCAATGACTCTGGAAAAGAGAAGGAAGTTGATGACTTCCTACAACTCTGCCTCACTTAAATCCAATTCAAAAGCAAGTCAAAACATCACCCCATGATATCATTAGTACTCTTCCAAACTGAAGGAAGATCGAACAGCCATATAGTGCTTATTATACCTATTAGTGTTCATAACTTACCCCTCTACAAGACTATAAATTCCATAAGGACAGGAACCATGTCTAATCCTAGCCTTGCATCTACCTCAGCCTAGCAGACTGTTTTTCATGAAGTAAACCTTTAATATATGCTTATTGGTAATGTTAATCATTTCTGAAATAAGCTAGGGTGATTCTTGGATGACAAGCAAATTAATTTGTTTCTATGACAGTACTTGTGGACTATCTAGCTTGATAGAATCTGCCAAGAGTTTTCACTCTATTAATATATCCTTTGAAAATGCAAGGTCACCTCAACACCACGAGTCATTAGAGGATTTCTGTTCAGTAGAGGAAGTGACTTCCTACCAGTTGGCATGGATCATTCATACTGACCAATAGCTAGGATCTATTTTAAAAGGAATTTTCTAGGGAATGTTTAGTGAATCAAGTTTACACTTAGTCCTATCTTCTACAATTCTGTAAAATTCTAATTGACGTACACAATAATTGAACTAAGGATCTTCAAAATGCTCATCAAAAATATTCAATTATACTCTGTATATTCTGTGTACTAAGGCAGGAAGTCACCTGGTACAATTTAGAAGATTTTTAATAAAATTTAAAACAAAAAAAGGCTTTCTATTTAACTTGCAGTTCATCAACATATTATCTTGCTATTTTAGTTTAAAAAGAAGATTAATTACTTCCTCTACCCAGTTATGACTATTAAAATGTTTCTAAATTTAGATATAATCACTATTACTATTATAGCCCAAGTTGTTTCTAATTACTTACCCATAATCAACATAGTAATAATTATTTTATAGCATTTGAAGTTTTGAAAAGTTTCTTATATCCCCTATATCATTTGAACCTCACAATAACTAAGTCAGCTAGGGATTACAAGGAATTTTATACCTATTTAACAGATGACAAGACTGAGTCTTAGAGATGTTAAATTATTTGCCCGGGATCATACATCTCATGAGTGTCGTAGTAAGGAATCACACCCTAGTCATCAACCTTAAAACTTTATCCTCTAGGTCATACTGTCTCTAGACAAATAGTTTTTGCAAATGATTTGCCTAAAACTAATCTATGTTTTTCCTCTAATTTTAAAAGTTTAATCTATATTTTTCTTGTAATTTTACAAGTCTTATGTTTCATGCTTTTTCTTCCTTGATATCACTGTCACTCTCTGCTCCTTCTTCACTTTTGCTATTTTCACTAGTCCTTATGTTATCTTTGAACTCAAACCAATCAGCTTCTATTCCAGTCATGAAGTTTGAAATACTGTGTTCTCAACTCTTGGGCAGTACTTGCCAGGTTGTTCTGTTCTTTGTGACTTATGGCAGTTTTCTAAGTTTTCCCACAACTCTTTAGGCTGCTTTATCCCTCTCTCCACAACTGCATTGTCAAATTAAACTGCTGAGAATGCAGCAGGGGAAGGCCCTCATGTTCATTTCATCTAAATAGAACTGGGATTCACCACACAATAAGCTTTACTGTTAATCAAAGACAGGGAGAGGAGAAATAGAAATCAGTTTTCTGAAAGAATGTAAGCTCTTGAGAATAGGAAAGATTTCATTCTTTTCATCTGAACCCCCAGTGCCTTGGCCCGGGGGCTGGCACAAAGTAAGCACTTGATAAATGATTGATTTTGTTGATAGAACCAAAATGGAACTGGATAGAAGTTTGACAAGAGTCTAAGCTTTTGAAAAAAGTTTCATTAGAATTAGAAATTTAATATTAAACATCAATATAAAAACTAAATTAAATTTATAACTACTTATACTCAGATTAATTCATTGTAATGCACAAAAAATCAAAGGCAGCCTCCCTTTGAGAATCCTGAAACTGCCTGTCCATGGTGTGTCTAGCTTGTCTTTGGTGTGTCTATCAGTTTCTGCTTAGATGTTATCTCCTCCTGGTCCAGTCTCTCCAATGACATGATGGATTCTTTTCTGGTAATGCTTTCTTGGGATATGCTCAGCAGTGATTTTGGGATTTTAATAAACAAAGAATCTAGCCCTTAAAGAGATAGAAATGGGAGAAAAGAAGAAATACGCTTTTATGGAAAAGGAATTTGAGACCTGGGCTCTAGGTTCAGATCTGCCTCTTGCTCCCAAGTGACCTGGGACAAGTCCAATACCCTCCCTTTTTAACAGCTGGTCTATAAAATGAAATTATGATCCTTTTGAAGGGAATGGGGGCACAGGAAATAAGCATTTATAAACTATCTATTATATAGCAGGTACTATACTCAACATTTTTAACAAATATTATTTTATGTGATCCTCACAACAACACTATGAGGTAAATGCTATTATTATCCCCATTTTAAAGCTGAAAAAACTGAGAAACAAAAGTTAAGTGACTTGCCCAAGGTCACATGGAAAATAAATATCTGAGGCCAGATTTGGACTCAGGACTTCCTGAGTCCTGGCCCAGTGATATCTAGCATCCCTTCCAATTCTAACATACTGTGATGTGGGTAACAATTCTGACAATTCTATGATCTTAGTGCTATAAGGGAGCTGATGAGTACCCAATCCCATAACCCACAGGGAAGCTGTTCCACCACCTGACTTTGAGTTTCCAGGCTGCTGAGACTTAAAGCAACATTATCTAGGATGGATGAAGGGTAGGCTAGGTTACATGTTATTATAATTACAATCACTAACATCCAACTTGGACTATTTTAAAACATGACATGTGAGTCCAACTTCATTTCCATTTGGAACTATCTCCAGGAAGTTCCCATCACATTTAGGTAGGTGCTGGATGGCACCTCCTTCCAACGATTCTAATATGAGTCAACAGTGTGGTGTGGCTGCCAAAAAGACTCAAACAGCCCAAGGCAACACTAATAGAAGCAGGATGTCTAGACTGAGATTCATCCCTGAGCTGATCCCATATGAATAGTATGTCCAGTTCAGGGTGCCATATTTCAGGAAAAACATTAAGGAGATATGTTCTGTGAACTATGGATTCAGTCACTTGAGGATCACATGTGTCCTGGAGGGTGAAGATTCCCTACCCTTGGTATAGTAGATAGAGAGCTGCCCTCAAAGTCAAAGAGACCCTATAGGCTCAAGTATTACTTCTGACTCATATGGGATGTGTGACCATAGGCAAGTCATCAAATTTCTTAGGGATCAAGGCAATCCTCTGGGCCTATAAGTTGCAGAGAAGATGCTGACCTGCCTTGGTAGAGGTGTTTCCATCTGAGGGGACTGAAACCTACCCCTCAGAGAATGAATTAGAGAATGAAAGAGTCCTTCCTATGTGGACAGAGAAACAGCCTGAATCTGCTTGGCCTCAAAGAGACAAAGATAACTTTTTTTTTCTTTTTCTTTTTTTTATTAATTTATTTTTTAGTTTTCAACAATCACTTCCATAAGCTTTTGAGTTTTAAAATATCTCCCCTTCTCTCCCCTCTTCCCTCCCTAAGATGGTGTGCAATCTGATATAGGCTGTACATATACATTCCTATTAAATGTATTTTCACACTAGTCATGTTGTAAAGAAGAATTAGAACCAATAGGAGGAACCACAAGAAAGAGTAAACAAAATAAAACAGAAGAAAAAAATAGTATGCTTCGATCTCATTCAAACTCCATAGTTCTTTCTCTGGATGTGGATAGCATTTTCCATCATGAGACTTTTGGAGAGATACACAAGTAATTATGAATCTGCTTCCTACTAACATGTCCACCGTGTCCTCTGCCCATCATTGCACCTAGGCCAGATACCTTCTCTCATTCCCCTCTTTGTCAGCTTCCTTTGTGTGTCTGTTGCATTCCCCCATTTGACTTATAAGCCCCTTGATTGCAAGGATTGTCTTTGTTTTTATTTGTATCCCAGCATTTAGCACAGTGCCTGGCACATTTTGCCATTGTGGAGGCTTTGTATCCCAAACACCTGAAATAGTGTTTATAACACAGTAGGGCAGCTAGGTGGTGCAGTGGATAAAATGCTGGGCCTGGAGTCAGGAGGATTCATCTTCCTGAGTTCAAATCTGGCCTCAGACACTTATTAGTATTGTGACACTGTTTGCCTCAGTTTCTTCACCTTTAAAATAAACTGGAGAAGGAAATAGCAAACCATCCCACTACCTTTGCCAAGAAAATCCCAAATGTGGTCATGAAGAGTCAGACAACTAAAAAAAAAGACTGAACAACAATAACAAACATTGTAGAGGTTTAAATATTTGTAGATTGATTGATCTATTTTCAGGCTTGTGCTAATAGATGTTTAACAACTGACTGAGAGGGGGTATCTACCCACAACACACTTTGAAGTTTAATCCTCATTATTAATATTTTCTCCAGCACTTTCTTAAGTCCAGACAATCAACAAAACAATAAATCCAGCCCTGGTTGGCAGCATTGGCTGATTTCCAAAGTGTAAATGCTCAGGCTGAAGATTTAACACTTGCTTCTCAAGCATCTGTTTAAGCTAACTCCCCCATACCATTGCCACTTGGGCCTCTGAGGTCCCTCCCAACTCTAGAATTGGACTCTAGTATATCCTGGGCTCCCCCAGAGTCCCTGTAGTTTCACAAACAGAGACAACAATCTGTCATCTATGGGCTATCTCATTATTTGAGGGCACATTCACCTCCTCCTCCAACCCCACTGAAATATTAGTTTTAG